AGAATGTCATAACAAATAGTTGTATTCATTGCTTAGAATTATTTCATCCCCTAATTTTATTAAGAAATATATCACTAACTATCGGTATTATATGTTTAGAATATGACGTCCCTCATGTATATAGTTTATGAATGCCATTACTAATAGTTTTATTTGCTGCTTTAAATTTTAGAATATTGCATCCCTTAAGGTGATTTAAAAATATACTGCATACCATTAGTATTATATGTTTAGAATATCACATCCCTCATATATGTTGTAAATAATATTTTGTTTATAGTTTAGTTCAGTATAACTCAATAAACATTCAGTTTGTATATTGTTTATAAAAGTTATAATAATATGTCGCATTTGATACTCAGTATATCACATCTTCTTGTTGTTACAAATTAGAATATTACATCCCCTCATATAGGTTTGTAAAATATTGCATAATAGTTAGTAGATAATACATATTATATGAAAAAGATTACTAGAAGATCCCTTTTTCTAGAATAGTTAAAATATACTTTACTTCTATAAAAACTTAAACTATAGTACCATTTTTTGTGGACTTCATCTACATCTAGATATTTATAATGAATTTCTCAATGTATTTGTTGTGTTTTTATTATAATGTGAAGATACTTCTATTATTCAGATGGACAAGGTACCCTACTAAGTTCTATTACTTTAAAACGAATCCTCGTTTTTGCTTTTTTTTAATGGTGCGGTGATATTCTAGGGTCTCGTGATATTCTATACTACATCTCCTTATTAAATTTAGAAAATATATTGCACACTTTGAGAAATAAAGGTTTAAAATATCACATTCCCCATGTATATTGTTCATAAATGTCATTAAAAAAATTTTATGACATTATGAATTTTATTTGCTAATTAGAACTATAGTTTAATTATCTCACTGCCTTAATGAAATTAAAAAATATATTGAATACTATTACTAATACATGTTTAGAATATTACATCCCCATGTAATTTGTTTAGAAATAACAAACTAAATAGTTGTATTTACTGCTTAGAATCTTAGAACATGACATCCCCGTAGTAAAATTAAGAATTATATGGAATGCTACCAGTATTATTTGTATAGAATATCACACCTCTTATGTCATTTGTTTGATAAATAACTTACTAAATAGTTGTATTTGCTGCTTAGAATCTTAGAATATCACATCCTCTTAATGAAATTATAATAATGTATTAAGTAATTTATTGCATACAATCCATTTTGTATATTGTTCACAAAATTATACTAATTTGTCGCATTTAATATTCAGAATATTATTTCTTTTTGTTTTTAGCTAAGAGTAGGTACGTGAGTAAAATTTTCAAATTGTTTGAATAATATAATGTTATATATCAGTAGAAAAAGAATTATTACAGTATTTGGTGAAAAATTTTCAAAATTGAACAACTAATTCAAAAGTTATTACGGTTTAAGCACCAATTTTTCTTTATATGGATTTGTTAAAGAAACTGTGGCCAAAATTATGCTTTTCTTCACTTAAATTGTCATAACTTTGTCAAATCTAAAAAATCAAAATACAAATATCTTGGTATCAAAAGATAGGTGTAAGATTGGGCTACAATTTTATGTTAAATTATAAGCACTGTGCATATTGGATGGACAGAGGGGGTACCAATCTATACTAAACCAAAATATATGATAGGTGTTAGTTAGCAATTGAGGTGGGTGTGGTGGTGATGGTTTAATACACCCTTGTATCAAAAACGAATTGATTTTATAAATATTTATATCTTTACTAAAATGAGTAAAATTAGTATACAATATAAAATTATGTTATACAATATCTTATGTATACCCACCCACCCCCACCCCCACCCCCACCCCACCCCCACCCTGAAAAAAAAAAGAAAAAAAATACAATTTCTGTTTTCAAAATTTGAAAAATAAATTTAAAAAAATTTTATGAAATTGGAAATAATTTATGAAATAAATTTATACCAGACAACCACCAAACATGAGAGATGATTGTAAAACTCCTAGTAGATATGTTGATGATGTTTTAGTACTATATTATCAAAAAAAAATTCAAATCTTGAAATATCTGATTTAATATTTAAAGTACAACAACAAAGAAGTAAAAAACATATTCCACTAGATTAAAAGATACAATAGTGGTGCATCCCACGTTCATAAGAGAGTCGAATATAGGGGAGGGTCTATCCAAATATGTCATAAGAAGACAAGCCAGAGCCGCCTATCAAAAAATTTAACAAACCACAACACTTGCTATATAATTTAGGTAAGTCACAAAAAGTCACAAAAAACCTTACCAGTTTGAACAGATATAGATAAAACTTCAAAAAAAAAAGAAGTAATAAACAAACAAAAATTTTGAAATTATTTTGCCATATAAATCATTTTGAAATGTCATAATATATAAACCTTACCAGGTGCAACAGATGACAAGACAATATTAAATAATAAAAGGACACAAAACATTAAATGGTACATGTAAATATTACATATTGAATACAGTGTTTCTTTCCCGGGTATTACTTTAATCGTTACCCGGGTAATTTGCAAGTTTTGTCTTACCCGTTAACCGGGTAATTACAGTTGAAAGATTAACAGTCAATTATTAAAAAAAAAAGATTAACAGTGATTCACTGTTAATTTTTTTTTAATAATTGACTGTTAATCTTTCAACTGTAATAAATATCTAGTAATGCAATAGTATCTGTAATTAAAAATCTAGACTAATTTTTTAATAACTCACTGAGTGAATTATTAAAAAAAAAGTCTAGATTTTAACTAGACTTTTTTAGAAAAAGATACATGATACAACCAGTAGTAGCATATTGCAATTTTTATTGGAGAGACTTACAATGTAAGATAAAGTATGTTATAATATTAGTAATGTCTATAAACTTTAAAGAAAGGAAACATTAAAATTCATTTAATAACTTTACATTAAAGGCAAATGATTTCTTTTTAAAATGTTAATAAATAGAAAATAGTATTGAAAACTTTTATCATTACTTTGATTTTCCATTTTATTTAATCTAAAAAAAACTGAAAATGTTATTTAATGTAAATCAAATGTAAAAAATGTTTAATTAACCCCTCTGTCTACCGCGTCTATTTCAGCAAAATGAAAATTAGGTAAAAAAAACGTGCGACAAAAAATAGACACCCTGCTACCACTTTTTTTTCAATGAAACTTTCCAGGTGCATAGATAAATGAAAAACTTAAAAGAAAGAATAGTATAGAAAAAAGAAAGAACATATCTTCGACATTAATTTTATGTCCAAAGTACAACAAAGTTTTAGACATCAATAAACTCTATAAAAAAGTTAACTAGTAAAATAATAAACCTTACAGTAATAAAGTTTAACTGTTCTAGTTACTAAAAATAATCTATGTTAATATCAAATTCTAAAAAGTTTTACAACTAAACACGTCTTCCCTACGTTATTTAAAAAAAATTCTAACAAGCGTTGCACTTTTTTTTAGCACAAAATTCGGTTCCGTAAAACGCGTATTTCCACGTACCTACTAATAGAATATTACATCCAGTCATGTAGATATGTAAAATATTGCATAACATCTAGTAAAAAATATGTAAAAGATTAAGGTGGTAGTACCCCAAAAAGCAGGCTAAAAAAATTTTTTTTTCAAAGTTTCAGTTTTTACAATTTTCATTAATTTATTAAATCTTCTCTTAAAATAATAAAAAAAATTTAAAAAAAAATTAATTCAACGCCTAAATTATCCTTAATAGATTTGGTACTAGAAAAAAAAGTGCCCTTGCAACGGCCCTTGGAGATATACTTCTTGCAATATCTTAAGAAATACGTGTCCAATTTATGTAGTTTTTGTGTGTGCTAATGACTAAATTGTTCCTTAAGAACTCTTGTTGGTTTTTGATCTAATATCCATAAATTAAAATATCATATTCGTTTCTGTAAGATATATATAATTACTCTTTAACAAAATGTTTTTTTATTGATGGGTTGTTTTTGATAAGTTTCCTTATAAATGCGTTCAAAAAAATAGATATGCTAAAGCAAGAGTAAAGAAAAGAAAATTTCATAAATTAAAAAAATATTCACTAAATAATTCACATGCTTTACAACAAACTGTTTTGTCTGCACATTCACCAAACAATGTAAGTTAATCGGTATCTGAAAAAAAAACTTATCTAGATGTAGAAAACTTTATGATATAGAAAAAGAGTGTAATACAATTATAAACTTATATTTATTTTCAAGTTTGTTGAAGGCAATTCAAAGATGCTCTAGAATGTTATTCGTCAATATTTCACACGATATTAATCAAAAATCTTTCTCACACTTCTTCTCAAGATTTTACATGGACGACAAATTTTTTAACTTCAAAATGAATAGAAAATAAAAATGAAGTAATCAAAGGTAAAAAATGAGAGAAATTAACTTATGTACTGTGTTAGCTTTTCGAGATATTGGGCAAGGATACATAACAGTTATTACTTTTGTTACTTAATGAATATGTCTTTTGGTATGACAAAACGTGGGTACCATAACATTAATAATAAACTTCCTGTTGCTAACTTTGAAACCTCTAGAGTGAGTACAAACAGATCATACGTAATGAAAAACTTGTTAAAAGTTATGATGAATCATCAACTGTCAATGTTGCTGTTAGTTTAGATTGTTCATCATGGTTCCATAGATGTTTCAGCACAAAAGAAACTTCTCAATAAATAGTATAGTCACAGGAATATCTCATGGAAATTGTATTGATGATGTTGCTGAAACAAAAAGTTGTTACCCTTTAAGATATGTTTAAGAAGATAGGTACTCCAGCTTACGAGAACTGGAAGATCACACATTATTCATAAGGGTAGCTCAGGAAATATGTAATCTTTAGGCGCTCTTCAAATATTCAACCAATCTGTCAAAGAGTTTAAAATCAAGTACATGAAATTCATTCCTGATGGAGATACTAACTCTTATATGCAAGTTTGTGATGCAAATTCATACAAAAAAGAAATTATTTAGAAAAAGTTCTTGGCAGTGGAGCGTTGCTCAAGAAAGGTTTACATGGCCAAAGTCAAAATGATAATGAATTGCTAAATGAGATGGTTTGGACTCGCGCACTTAAAAGAGTTCATGTGAAAAAAACAGTTAATGAGATTGCTTTAGCCTATACAATAATTAGCTTCAATAATGGAGTTCAGGGTTTACTACCAGCATTTGAAAAATGTAATGTTTTGCCTGGATATTTTACAACTAAAAGTTCTCTAAATGTAGATTATGTACGCAATAAACAGAATGAGATAAAAAGTACAGGTGCCACAAAAAACAGGAGGAAAAAGTTAGAGGCCATTAAAAAAGGTTTTATTGGCGAACATAATGAAGCAGAAGATGTTGCATACAACAGTGGTGGTTTTTAGTAGGTTTGATTGTGTAAAAAAACTTAATGTGCTTTTAGTATTTTTTTTAGATTGCATTTTTCTTGCGTTTAACTTTTTGTGTATTGTATAATTTTTTAACAAAGATAACTTTTTAATCACTCATTGAACTTTTTTCAAATTTTCAACAATTATTTTTGAATGTATTTGTAATGTGACCAAAGAAGCTGAACCAAAGAAAATTAATTTTTTTTATATTAAAGTATTAAAATTTGAACTTTAGCAAGCTGTACTTTACTTTTTTATTTTTATTGATAAAATATAATGATTTTAAAGTTATTAAATATTGTTTATTGTATAATTTTAAATTCAGCACATTTTTTGAACATATATAAAACTACCTACAAAATTTGGTTTGTAGAACATGTATGGTTCTCAAGATATTCTTGTTAAAAAAAAGGTCAATTTTTTTGCCTAAATTTTGATAATTTATGCGCATAATTATTGAGCAACACGGTAAAAAAAATATATTTTGTTATTTTTTGAAATGATTTAATCTAACATTTCAGAAAAATATGTTTCCATATAATATCAAGTTTTAAATTTTTTTCCTCTGAAAGGGTACTACCAACTTAAAAAAAAAAATCGTTACTAAGGAATAAAAATTTAAATTATAGTACTATTTATTGTCGATTTCATCTACATCTACAGTAAATATATTTATAATGAATTTCTTAAGGTATTTGTTGTGTTTTTATTGCATACTGTGAAAGTACTTGCATTATTCGGACGCGCTTGGTTACCCTACTAAATTCTATTACTTCGAAACGCAACTTGGTTTTCATTATTTCTACTGGTGCGGTGACATTATAAGGTGGTATTCTATTACAGTTCGCTTAAGTAACATTTTTATAATGTAAAAGATTATTTAAAAACTTTGACATAGTTAAGAGTCATATTTTAAATTCATAAACTTAAATATAAATAGCAATACTACGCATATATTTTCATTTTAAAAATTTATTTAAGAAAAATATTGATAAAACCTTTTTTATCTAGGAGTATTGCTTAAAACATGTATATGTATATATATATATATATATATATATATATATATATATATATATATATATATATATATATATATATATATATATATATATATATATATATATATATATATATATATATATATATATATATATATATATATATATATATATATATATATATATATATATATATATATATAAACTTTGACAACTTATGTAACATTGTAAAAGAAACTTCAAATTTTTTTAGCATAATATGCTTAACTGAAACTTGGTGTGACTCTGATGACCCCAAATCTTACTTAAATCTCCACCTGGGAGGCTTTAAAATGATCCCGCTAGCACAAAAATCAAAAAAACGAGGCGGTGGTGTACTTTTTTATATAAAAGAAAAATTGCAGTATATTAGCCTGACATGAGTAACTCTGATGACAATAGCGAAGTCTTAACAATAGAAATTAAAACCAGTAACACCAAAAATATGCTTTTGAGTTGCTGCTATCGCCCGCTATCTGGCATAATAGAAAATTTCAATACATTCTTATTTAATAATATTTTAAGAAAAGATTTAAAGGAAAAAAAACTTAACTATTTAATTGGAGACATAAATCTAAATTGTTTTGAATATCAAACTAATAACAACATAAAAACAATTTATGACGGTTTATTTCAGAACGGCGCTATTCCATTAATTAAAAGACCAACAAGAGTAACAGAAACATCAGATTCTGTAATAGATAACATAATAACAACTGATATCTTTAACAATTCGCTTAAAATAGGTATAATAAAAAATGACGTGTCTGATCACTTCCCTATTTTCTTTTCTTTATATCTTGTTACCGAAATAATTACAACAAAAAAATCAAATTTTTATCAAACGCTTTTTCAATGAACCAAATATCGAATCATTTAACGATCAACTATCCCTACTTAACTGGAAAAGTATCGACTCTACATTAGAAGCAAATGTAGTCTATAACACATTCTACGAAACATTTTATGATATCTATGAAGCAAATTTCCCAAAATCAAAATAATTAAATCAAATAAAAGCCTTAAATCACCGTGGATCAATAAAGACCTCAGAAAGTCCTCAAAAATTAAGCAAAAACTTTATATAAAATACTTAAAAACCAAAACAATTGAAAACAAAACATTATACAAAAATTATACTAAACAATTTGAAAATAATAAAAAAAAATGCAAAAAAAAAAAACTCTTTCAATTTTCTAGAGAAACATTTCCTCTAACCTCTTGTCTAAGTGCTTTTGAATTATCATTTTCAGAATTTGAAAATGCTTTTAAAATGCTTAAGCCCAATAAAGCAATTGGCCCAGATGATTTAAATGGAAACATTGTTACTAAGTCATACGATAGTATAAAGAATACTCTATTTAAAGTTCTTAATTGTTCAATAAGTCAAGGAATTTTTCCGGCCCAAATAAAGGTTGCAAAATTAACCCCTATATATAAAGGTGGTGAATTAACAAATGTTGGGAATTATCGTCCATTTTCGGTTTTGTCAGTTTTTTCCAAAATTTTTGAAAGAATTTTATTTTATCGAATTTTTAATCTCTCTGAAAATAATATACTTTACAACAATCAGTACGGTTTTAAAGAAAATAACTCTACAGAACACGCAGTACTTCAACTCACAAGAATTATTACTGACTTCTTCGAAAAATCACAATTTACTTGAGGTATTTTTATAGACCTATCTAAAGCTTTTGATACTATTGATCACGGCATTCTATTAAATAAATTAGAACATTACGGTATCACTGGTAAAATCTTAATGTTATTAAAAAGTTACTTAAATAATCGTAAACAATTCATGCATATTGATACACACTCAACAACTACTGCTTTAGATGTGGAGTTTCCCATGGTTCCATACTTGGACCACTGTTATTTCTAATTTATATTAATGACCTCTATAAAACTTCTAATTTAATGACAATAATGTATGCTGACGATACTAATCTTTTCTTATCCCGAAATGACATCAATAACTTATTTAATGACATGAATGTAGAACTAAAGAAAATATCTGACTGGTTTAAATCAAAGAAGCTTTCACTTAATATTGAAAAACCTAAGAGGATTCTTTTTCATTCAGCTTATAAAAAGCATATACTTTCAAGTGAAATGCCGCCGCTTTTCATTGAAAAAATTAATATAAAAAGAGTAACTTATACTAAATTTTTAGGTAATATTGTGGATGAAAATCCTTCATGGAAAAACCGCATTGGAAATCTAAATAATAAAATTGCAAAAAGTATTGGGATTCTATATAAAACAAGAAGCATTTTAAATAAACATACTTTAATTCAACTATATTAATCATTCATTCACTGGCATTATAACTATGCTAATATTGCCTGGGGTAGTACCAACAAAATTAAGTTAAAGCCTTTGCTTTGTCAACAGAAGCATGTAGCACGCCTTATTAATTTTAAATATCGTTTTACTCATGCCAGGCCTTAATTATTAAACATGAATATTCTTAATATTTACGAAGCAAATATATTTAACGTTCTTTGTTGTATGTTTAAATGCAAAATTAATACTTGTCCTGTTTCTTTTCATAAGTTATATTTAATGAAAGAAAAAAATAAATATATATTAAGAAATAATAAACATATCCAACAACCAAATTTTCAATCAAATATAGGCAATCTTGCATTCAATACCGTGGAGCCTTTTTATGGAACAAAATAGTTTTAAAACATTTTGATTTTTCGCATAATTGAAATTAATTTTCTTTTAAAAGAAAACTAAAAAAAGTAATTTTTTCAATTGATAACATATTTTTATATTTTTAAATTATTACCTATTCCACAAAATAATTAAGGAATTGTAATCTAAACGACAGTATTTTTTTAGATTACATATTATATATTATATCTTGACATTACATTTATACTGATGAAAACTGATGTAATTTTTCGAGTTTTTGTTTGCTTTTTTTGTTTGTTTGTTTTTGCATAATACTAAATATTGAGAAATATTATATATATTCACATATATAATAAAATATTGTTAAAACTTACTTAACATCTAAAGAGTATTATAATATATAAACGCATTCAAAAATTATTTTAAATATTTGTAAATTTATGTATTTTGACTTAATATAAATTGTAAAGGGCTTCATGATAAGTTTGTGTGATCTTCTGGAAGTCCTACCAGTAATATATTCAATGTAAATTTACTTTGTACATATTATACTGGAAAAAAGTAAAAAAAAAAAAAAATATATATATATATATATATATATATATATATATATATATATATATATATATATATATATATATATATATCCCCATCAAAGGCTTATCTCAAAACTTAAAGCATATGGTGTTAGTGGCTTGGCACTTGATTGGCTTCGAGCTTTCTTATCTAATAGAAGGCAGAGAGTCGTTATAGGAGATTATATTTCAACTTGGGCTGAGGTGCACAGCGGAGTTCGCCAAGGCTCAGTATTGGGTCCACTACTTTTTATACTCTATATAAATGAGCTTCCGGAGTCTCTAAAAAATATTTCAAAATTTTATGCTGATGACACAAAAATCATGTCAATTAGTTCTTCTGATGAGTTACATAATAAACTACAATGCGATTTAAACTCTGCATATGCTTGGACACAAGACTGGCTGCTTAGTTTTAATATTGAAAAGTGTCTTGTTATGCACTATGGCTATAAAAATAAGAGATATCCAATTTATATAAATGGTTGTAAACTCAATACATCAGATTCAGAAAGGGACCTAGGAGTGATTTTTTCAGATAACTTGAAGTGGAAAAATCAAACATTATCGAGTGCAAGCAAAACTAATTGCATGTTGGGCATAATAAAAAAATCTTTTGTTCGATTTGATGCTGAACTGCTTAAATCCCTATATCTTTCATTTGTTCGACCGCTACTTGAGTTTGCTATACGAGTATGGGCTCCTTATCAAAAACAAGATATAATCATTTTAGAAAAAGTACAGCGTCGTGCTACTAAACTAATACCTCAAATCAGTAAATTATGCTATGAAGATTGACTTGTTTATCTTAAAATACCCTCACTTATTAAAAGAAGACAACGAGGAGACATTATACAACTATATAGAATTTTTAAAGGTTATGATAAAGTTGAATTTAAAGAAATTTATTCATTTAAATCAAATTTTACTCGTGGCCATAGCCTGAAATATTCTAAAGAATTTTCAGTACATAAGTATAGAGAAAATATTTTGCTTAATCGAGATGCAAATTATTGGAATGCACTGCCGGAAAATATTGTCAGGGCTACTTCAACGAATTCATTTAAAGCAAAACTTGATCGATGGGAGTTAAGCGATCACGGGATTCAGCTGTCTTAGTGTGCTTAAAACCACACTCACTGGTACCAATACCAGTCACAGCATAAACTAATACTAATACTATATATATATATATATATATATATATATATATATATATATATATATATATATATATATATATATATATATATATATATATATATATATATATATATATATATATATATATATATATATATATATATATATATATATATATATATATATATATATATATATATGAATATATATATATATATATATATATATATATATATATATATATATATATATATATATATATATATATATATATATATATATATATATATATATATATATATGTATATATATATATATATATATATATATATATATATATATATATATATATATATATATAATATATATATATATATATAAAAGAATATATATATATATATATATATAAAATTCAGACACCTAGGTGTCTGAATTTTACTTTTATTTATACTTTTATATTATAAATATATTTGTAAAATATTTTCATGTAAATAAATAACTAATTAGTTTATAGTTGTTTATTTTCTATCAGTACCACTCTTTCTTATATCGCCTTCCTTATTTTACTTTTATGTAAACTATATTTCTAGAAGTCTTGCCCTCTAAACGTTTTTTTTTTTCCTTGTTTATGTTTATAAATGCAGTACGGACGTTAAGGTACACTTCTAACAGTTATAACCCAAAAGCGCGATCTCGTTTTGAGTTTTTCATAGGGGGGTGGAGTAATTCAGGCGGTGGGAATAATCTACTACAGTTTTTTATATACCAATGGATTGTATTAATAAAGACCAAATACTTTATCAGTCCCTTCCATCTTCTATATGGAGACAAGTTTCATTTTTACTTAATCCTATTTGTGATGGTAAAGATTGGAAAGCTTTAGCTGCTGTATTTAATTTTACAATGGAAGAAGTGAATGGTTTGTCAATTGCTTGTGACCCAACCATGGAATTGTTTAAATATTATGAGGTAAAATATGACAAAAAAGTTACATTATGTTATGTTATAGAATCATTGCAATATATTGGAAGAAAAGATGTTGTAGATGATATTTTTGAATATATAAATAATAATAATTTTATTGAAAATGACAATCAAGGTTTGCAATACCCCATAACTCATGTTGGTAATTTTACACTCAATGATAATTATGATGTTTTTATATCATATGCAAAAGATGATATAAGTTTTGCTAAATTAATTAAGAATCGTTTAGAAAAAGAAAATGGGTTTAAAGTTTGTATTGATTATTGTGATTTTTTGCCTGGCTACAATCCTTTTGAGCAGGTATGCAGTGTTATTATAGAAAAATGCAAAAAAGTTATAGTTATATTATCCCCTAATTTTAACAAATCAAGTTACTGTCAAACACATGCAAAAATTGCATCATCTTCATTACTTGAAGGAAATAAACATAAAGTGATACCAATATTGTACGAAAAGTGTGAAATACCCCTTGTTTTAAAATATTTTTCACGCCTTGATTGCACTGATCCTCACACCAGTTCTTATTTTTGGCCATGCCTTATAAAGGCTATAAATGTTTTATGATATGTATTGGTTTCATGACTTTTATAACTTTTTATTTGACAGAATTTTTTATTTGTGTTATGTATAAGTGTTTGTGTGTATATATAAATATATATATATACGTATATGTACATACATATATATATTTATATATATATATATGTAAATATATATATACACACATGTATATATATACATATATTTACATATATATGTATATATATACACGTAATCATATATACATACCTTCAGATATATATATATATATATATATATATATATATATATATATATATATATATATATATATATATATATATATATATAAACACAATTTATATATTTTTTTATTAAATTTTCTTGCTATAATAATTTTTTTTTTAATTTATGTTTTTAGTAATTTTTTAACTTTGAAAATTTGAAAAGGAAGTTTTATATTTAATGCAATTTTATACTTTTTTATATAATAATTTGTTTTCCAGATATAATATATATTTTTTATTTAGTTTCCTTGATGTAACAGTTTTTGTTTTTTTTTTTATTTTTAATTAGAAATTTTGATTTGAAATTTTTTATTAGAAATTTGAAAGAGAAGTTTTATATTATTAGGTTTTCCAATTTTTTATCTAATAAACAGTTTTCCAGATGTCGTCTACATTTATAAATAAATTATAAAACTGTTTAAAATCATGGTGCGCAATTATAATCTCATTATCTAAATTGCATCAAAAGCCATCAAAAAGTAGTACTAACTACAAATAATATTTTATATGGCAACTGTCCATTTGTTATTTGATTTCTGAAAACTCAACGGGTTGTAGCCTTAATTTTAATGTAGATCAGTATATAAATAGAAAAATATAAATAAAAAAAGGGTGAAAAATAACTTACTTAAATCTTATTTTTAAATTAAAAACTTTTTAGTGTAAATCATAGATTTGTTTATTTATTTGAAATCAATTTTTAAAACTCTGACTGCATGCTTTGAAAAATTTTTAAACTTTAGATATATATTTCTATATTAACTTTTTTTCGATACAAAAATCTGTTTTTACTGTTATGACTATTTACTAATATATTAAAGTGTGTGTGTGCGTGTTTATATATATATATATATATATATATATATATATATATATATATATATATATATATATATATATATATATATATATATATATATATATATATATATATATATGTATGTATATATATATACATATATATACATATATGTGTATATATATATGCACATATATATGTGTATATATGTATATATGTGTGTATATACACACACATATATATGTGTATATATGTGTATGTACATATATATATGTTTATATACACACATATATATGTGTATATATGTGTGTACATATATATGTGTTTATATACACACACATATATGTGTGTGTATATATGTTTATGTACATATATATGTGTTTATATACACACACATATATGTGTGTATATATGTGTATGTACATATATATATATGCTTATATACACATGTGTGTGTATATACATACATATTAGTAATAAACCAATATCACTTTTTTGGTCGATGGATGGGAAAAGGTTGATGCCGATGAATTAACTGATTATTAAACAGTCGGACCCGGTCTATCTGCTAAACTTTAACCTCTTTCCCATCGTCGTAAAGTTGTATCTCTTTCTCTTTTCTACAAATACTATCATGGTTGCTGCTCAAAGGAGCTTTTATCTGTAGTTTCATCAACCAAAACTCATTCTGGTTCGACTTATGATTCATCAAAGTCTCATTCTTTTACTGTATCTGTCTATTCATACTCCAAAAACTTCTAGCTTATTTCCCAGCACTTCAACTCTTCGGAACTCTGTCCCATCTTTCATATTTTCCTGACAAATATTACCTTCAACTTTTTAACTCTTCTGTCAACCGTTTCCTTTATCTATAACTCTACTCTTTTTTTCTAGCAAATCCCAACTTGATAGTGATTGCTTGCAGCCTTGTTGTGAGTAAAAAAGAATTTAAAAAATATAGATAATAATGCTTTAATAGGTTACTTTTAAAGCTTTTGCCTGTTAACAAAGTCACAATAAAAATTTATCCAAATAATTCTAAGTAATGCATAAAATTTAATTTATTTAGTATTTAATTATTATAATAATGCACGATAAAAATATTTAAAAATGCCATAATTATTAAAAGAGGCCGATACTGATTCCGATTATACAAAAAGTGGCCGAATAAGTCGATGTTGATTAATCGGTACTTCACTAATATATATATATATATATATATATATATATATATATATATATATATATATATATATATATATATATATATATATATATATATATATATATATATATATATATATATATATATTCAAAAATAGTTATGATTTTTTGTTAAAAATACCTTGAAAAAAAATTTCGACCAAAAACCATGAAAAAGTGGCTTTTTTTAATTTTTTGCTAAAAAGTAATTTTTATCCAATAAAACTTATAAAAATAAATATTATATAAAATTTTTATTGTTTTTTGAAAATTTTTTATAAAATTTCGCTTCTTTTGAGACCCAACATGACATACATTTGAAAAACTTTTTTTTCTTCTGTTTAGGGTCTCGTCACAAGTTTCAGATTTGAGGTGGCCCCCCTAAATCTCATTCAAATTTGAAAAAATATAACAGAGTGTCTTGTGAGTACCAAAAAAAAGTTTTAAGAATAGGGACAGATCAATTTTTGAAAGTATGGGGCGTTTGATGGACCCTAATATATATATATATATATATATATATATATATATATATATATATATATATATATATATATATATATATATATATATATATATATATATATATATATATATATATATATATATATATATATATATATATATGTATATATATATATATGTATATATATATATATGTATATATATATATATATATATATATATATATATATATATATATATATATTATTTATAAATAAAACTGCATGTTTTTCACAACTATTAGTTTCATGCTAAATGCAATCATCAGGTGTAAATATGTTTTTTTTCTCGTAAAAATAATAAATCTGTACAAAAGAAAATGAGTTAAAAAATCTAATCTTTTGGTTTATGGTTGT